TCTCAGTTCCACAGACAGAATGTTTCCCTCTCTTGAGGGAGCAACAGCTCTTGACAAGAGGAAATATGATTTCAGCAAAAATCCTAGTTCTCTGTGCTCATTAAAAATTGTTTCAGTATTCTGTTTGGCTTCTTGCTTCATATACATGGGAATGATTATTTTAGACATGGGTTATCTGGCAATGACTGCCAGAGATGCCGACCTTGAGACAGAGACAGAGAGAATTCTGAACTTTTTTTAAAAAAAAAAAGTGTAACTTTTGCTTTTCTAGAAATTGATCAAAGTCGTTTGTTCTAGTGAAAATGTAAGCTGTGAGGGAAATGGTTCCCAGCAAATCTCCTGATGCTCACTCTTCTGTTGCTAAAAATCATCTGCGTGAGTGTCTGGTTGTAGAGATTCAGCTTGACTGTAGCCATCTTGGCTCAAACTGCCATTTTCCCTGCCAGGCGACCCTGGCGTACACTCCAAACTCGGTGAGGCAAAGTTAAAATGGCTGAGCATGTTATGCTAGCCAAGATGCCAAGATTTTTTCTAATGTTTTATTATTGTACATATAGTGTGTGTAAGAGAGAAAGCACACATGGTGAGTGCAGAGACCAGAGGACAACTTTATGGAGACATTTCTCTCCTTCCAGCTTTGCATGGGTAACAGAAGTTGAACTCTGGTCATCAGGACTTCGAGGCAAGCACTGTTACAAACGGAGCCATGTTGCTGGTCCCTAGACTGCTGCTTGACTGACACATGAATCCTCTCTGAGAAAGGACAGGCACATTCTTATTTGCTGTTGTCTGCTTTGTCTCACTTGAACCCTTGCTTCTGATTGAGGTACATTAGTCCCGATATTAGTCGATATGAGTGTCTATCCATAGGTATCTCCTGGATAAATTATACTGTATGCCATCCTGGACATAGCTACTTCTTCTTCAAATGCTTCCTCACCTTCACCCTTGGTGGCCAACCTCTCATCCCTAGGACAGGTCATTCCAAGGAACTAGTATTCACACTGGAACCATTTAATGACTTGGATACTCCTATTCCTGGGTTACCCATCATTGTTTAAGAGTGTACATGGCTCCATCAATTCTGAACTTTAGACTTGTACCTTAACCAGAGCAAGGGCTTCCAGTCTGTACCCCTGAGCAAACTCCAGCCCAAATGGACCCATCCTCTAATCCTGCCATTCTGAGACTAGGTAGGAGAGGAGTTGGGTATATGCAGGGCAGGGTGCCAGGTACCTCTGGAGAAAATAAAATATGTCTATGGTAGAAGTATGCAAAAAGTATTCACCTTCATCTACCTGATTTATTAGAAACAAAATACCTTAAATCAAATGGTATTTAAACAATAGAAATATATTATTCCTCACATTTCTGAAGGCTAAGAAATCCCAGATCAGCTCGGCCGCGGCGGACTGGCGGGTCAAAAGTATAATGTCCCAGGAAAGCAGCTACGGAAAGTGGACAATATCCAGTAGGGACGAAAGTGAAGATGAAAAGCCCAAACCTGACAAGCCATCAGCATCCTCTTGCCCCGAGGCTGGGCAGGGAGTGTCAAAGGAGCTCACTTACACCTGCTCAGAGGCCCGCAAGGCTGCACACAAGAGACAGATCTTACCTGTGAAATTCAGCAACACAGACTTGGTGTTACCCCACAAAAAGCAGAAGAGTGAGTCCCCGGAAGGTCTCGGCTGGTGTCTCTCCAACAGCGATGATGAACAGCAGCCAGATGTGACACATCAGGAACAGCCCCAAGAGAAAAAACATGACTCCTCACCCAATGTGACTACTGCCCAGAAAGCTGAGGATAGAAGCCCTCCTGCCAGCCTTAGGCCCCAAAGGGCAGATGACTACGAGACCTCAGAGGAAGGCCAGGACATCTGGGACATGCTGGATAAGGGGAACTCCTTCCAGTTTTATCTCACTAGAGTCTCCGGGATTAAGGCAAAGTATAACTCCAAAGCCCTCCACATCAAGGGTATTTTATCCCCTCTGTTTGGGACATTTGTCTCTTCAGCTCAGTTTAACTACTGCTTTGATGTGGACTGGCTCATAAAGCAATATCCACCAGAATTCAGGAAGAAGCCGATCCTGCTTGTGCACAGTGATAAGAGGGAAGCCAAGGCGGACTTACATGCCCAGGCAAAGCCCTATGCAAACATTTCCCTCTGCCAGGCAAAGTTGGATATTGCATTTGGAACACACCACACGAAAATGATGCTCTTGCTCTATGAAGAAGGCCTCCGAGTCGTCATCCACACCTCCAACCTCATCCGGGAAGCCTGGCACCAGAAAACCCAAGGAATATGGTTGAGTCCTTTGTACCCACGAATTGACCAGGGAAGCCACACATCTGGAGAGTCAAGCACGCATTTCAAAGCTGACCTCACCAGTTATTTGATGGCATACAATGTGCTCCCACTGCAGGAGTGGATAGACACCATCCAAAAGCACGATCTCTCTGAAACCAATGTTTACCTTATTGGTTCAACCCCTGGACGCTTTCAAGGAAGTCACAAAAATAATTGGGGACATTTTAGGCTTAGAAAGCTTCTGCAGGCGCATGCCCCATCCACACCCAATGGCGAGAGCTGGCCCGTCGTTGGTCAGTTTTCAAGCATCGACTCCCTGGGGCCTGATGAATCCAAGTGGCTGTGCTCTGAGTTTATGGAGAGCTTGCTGGCCCTGAGAGAGGGTGGCCGAACTCTGGGCAAAAGCGCAGTTCCTCTCCATCTGATCTATCCCTCTGTGGATAATGTGCGGACCAGCTTAGAAGGATACCCTGCTGGGGGCTCTCTTCCCTATAGTATCCAGACGGCTGAAAAGCAGAGGTGGCTGCACTCCTACTTCCACAAGTGGTCAGCAGAGACATCCGGCTGAAGCAATGCCATGCCACATATTAAGATGTACATGCGGCCCTCACCAGACTTCAATAAACTGGCTTGGTTCCTTGTCACAAGTGCGAAACTGTCCAAGGCTGCCTGGGGAGTGCTGGAGAAGAACGTTACCCAGCTGATGATTCGCTCCTACGAGCTCGGGGTCCTTTTCCTCCCGTTAGCATTTGGCCTGGACACCTTCAAAGTGAAACAGAAATTCTTCTCCAGCAACTGTGAGCCGATGGCCTCCTTCCCTGTGCCCTATGACCTGACCCCAGAGCTCTACGGGAGTAAAGATCGGCCATGGATTTGGAACATTCCTTATGTCAAAGCACCTGACACGCACGGCAACATGTGGGTGCCCTCCTGAGACGAAGTGCTGTGCCATTTGAGTGGGACACATTGGATGCTCTTGTTTGTACTGAAAATTCACGTCTCTTAAAGTCTTGCACCCATACAAGACTCCTCACAAAAGTCGATCTGGACTGTGTCTGATGGTCGTTGTCAACATTCTTATTAAAGAAGAGGTGTTATTTTTGTAATTCAAAAAAAAAAATCTAGGATCTCATCTCTAATACTAACACCTCCTGGACAGGATTTCAATATATGAATGGAGTGGGGTACAAACATTCAGATTCTAGCAGTGTTAAAGGTTAGGACAGGAGATATGGAAGAAAATGAAGGCAGGAGAAAAGAGAGCAAACACTCGCTATGCATCTCTGTGTCCCGGCAAGCCTTCTATGAAGCTGTATTTTCACTTGAGAGGGTAGGGACCTTGGAGGGTCACTTAGCAGGAAGGTATAGATTTTAAGGTCTGTGGATGACTGAATGGCCGTACTCATGGGTAGGTGGCATGAGACTGTGTACAGTGATGAGAAAGACAGTCGTGGGTCGGCAACATGGACTAATGAGTAGAGGTGCTGGCACACAGGTTAAAGACCTGAGACCAATCTCCAGATTCCACAAGGGGGCAGGACAGACCTGACTCCAGACACTGCAATCCTCTGACTGCTCATTCATGCCAGCATACTTAGACAGACAGACAGACAGACACACACACACACACACACACACACACACGCACATATGCACACACATATACACACACGTACACAAACACACATGTACACAAGCGCACACTTAAACACACAGTAAAATAAATTAATTACTTTTAAAGTTACTCTTGGGCTAGAAAGATGGCTCAGTCAGTAAAGTGCTTGCTGAACCCCTGGATCCAATCCCCAAAACCCACACAGAGAATATAACAAAGGATTAGCTGTCTTGATGTCTTCTATGCCCTCTAGCCTATTGATGATGACCCAATCATGTCGAGGTTTCTTGGACACCCAGCCTCTCTGTGATTCATGGCTGCCCTGGGTAACACCGTGGAAGCATTGCTGTCTATGACACTGCCTCTGCCACCTGCTACACTGGACAGTGCCTGGGTTCTCCGGCATGGCACCAACACTAGACCATAAGTCCAGCAGAGTCTCTTTTGCATTTTAATTTTGTTTTTCCTTCTGTTTTTTTGAGACAAGTTCTCTCTATGTAGCCCAGGCTGTCCTGAAGCTCACTATGTACATCAATCTGGCCTCAAACTCACAGAGATCCAAGGCACGTGTGACTCATACTTGGCCCCTTACTGAGGAGCTGAAGCCAAGAGCAGTGAGGGTACTGGAGTGACAGATAAGTAGCCCTGGTGTGAGAGCCCCTTAGCTATTTATGTTCAGAGAAATCCTCTCGGGGTCTAACTCTGCTTTTTACAGAGCAATTCATTTAGATGATCCAAAACTATTTTAAAGGATTCTATATAAACCTGAAGTGCAGGTAACTGACACTAAATGAAAATACCAAATCAAAATAAGGGCCTTTTAAATAAGGGTATTCCTTAGGATTTTACATATTGAGGGCTTACAAGCTGGTTCAGTGGCTAAGTTGTGTACTGCTCCTGCAGCAGACAGGAGTGCAGTCTCCAACACCCATGTTGGGTGTCTCAGGACCACCTGTAACTCCAGGTCCAGGTGGCCCCCACCTCAGGGTTCCTCTGGCACTTGCACTGACGTGCACATACCCACACAGAGACACACACATACACACAATTAAAAAATATAGACTTTTAAAAAAACACCTTATTAAAAGAAGCACTTTTATTACTGTATGAAAATAAAAGGAGTTTTTACGTTTATAAATCTTTGGCAATACAAAACCTGTTTATCTTTAAATCCCCTCCCTCACCTCCACCCATGCAGGAGGGCACCTATTCTATGTCATCTATTCTATCACTTCGATGAGATACTTCGGGGTTTGGGCCAGGCTTGCCTTGAATCCGAGGCAGTCCCTTTAGCCTACAGGTAAGAGACCACAGGGGTGTGCCAACATTCCCAAACTAGAAATAAGCATCTACTCTGATTTCCCCACTCTCTCCACTCTGGGCCTGGACAGGGGTTGAACCTCGATCTTACCACACACATACGTTCCCCCTTGGCTATATTCCCACCATACTTTGGCTCAAGAGGGTCTATAATGAATTTCACATCTGGTATGCGGCACGCAGTGGAAAGGTGGGGGCTGATTTTTATACAGAGCTACACTGAGCTCAGAACTTGCACTTTGTGGAGTTTAGTGCGGTTCTTGGAGAATGGACAGCTTGAGTACATGAAAATGTATTTGGTAATACGAATCTGTTCTATAAGAACTATCATGGAATGGCCCCACCAGCTTCATGCACACACAGTGCTGGTGTAGAGGCCACAGCAGTTGGCAAGACTCCTGAGGCTGGACTCCTTGTCTTGCCAGGGGCCTGAGAAAGAAGGCATGCTGGTGCCGTTCAACCAAGTACTGAAATGATAAAACCAGATACACACAGGTCAGACACAAACAAGGCATCACAATCAACAAGTTTTCCAAGTAGCTGAGAACAAACCTACTGTGAGTAGATCTGTTGTTGTAACCAGTGACATGAGATCCAGCTGAACGAACTCTGCTTCTTATGCTTTAGATGATGCTAGCACAGAACCCTGACCACTGCCTGCCCGGTGTCCAGCTCCTAACCTCAGTCCAGTTAGAAGTGTCATTTCCAGACAGTTGAGAAAAAATTAGGCCTTATAAATGATCCAGAATTAAATTTAATAAAAAAATAAGCTGATTACTAGGGCTACTTTCCTCTTCAGAAAGAAAAAACTGTTTACACTTCACTGGTATAAACTAATTAGACAAAGGTATTTCTCTTTCAATGTTCTGATTTTCATTTTATTCAAACTGAAACAGAATTATGTCACTTTTCCCCATCCTTTTCCTCCCTCCAGGCCTTCCCATTTGCACTCCCTCGAATCCCTCCCATATTACCCTCTACTCTCAAGGTAATATCTACTTTTTATTATCAATACATACATACATACATACATACATACAGACAGACAGACAGACAGATCCAGCTGTTATTTTTCTCAAATTCTATGTCCATGTGCAGGTGTGGGTGTGTGCATGTGAGTGCAGGCGCCTGCAGGACTTGAACCGGGACCCCTCTGGAGCTGGAGTTGCAGATACCCATCACCCAGTGTGACATAGAACTCAGGTCCTCCACAACAGCAGCCTGTTAGTCTCTCTGCAACAGCAGCATCTGAACAACTACTTGAGCCAGACTCCAGCTGACTTGTGAGTGGATTTATACAGTGTTTTCAACCCCTGAAAACATTTCTTTTGGCCTCTAGATGCTAATGACTCTTAGAATATATCTTTAGAAAATCCACTGAGAACATACACATTAGAACTCCACCAGACAACCAGTCTACTTAGTTTATAAATTTCTCTTTAACAATAAATGAAATTTGCAATTTACTTTTACTTTGTTTCTTAACCTGTATACAGCTAACATCTGAATAAGTACACGAATACATCACAGACATACATGTCACCTCCCACTCAGGCTCCAGCTCTGACCTCTCTCCTGAGCCTCAGACTCCAGTTGACTTGTCAGTGGCTTTATATGGTGTTCACACAGGTACCTCCAAATTAACATATCCAGAACTGGAAAAGGCCACGCCCTTCTTCTGGCCCAAGTCAAAAAAGATCATTCTTTCTCCTCCTCACACTGGGCCTTTCTCCTAACCAGTTGAGGGTCAGTCCTATCAATTCTCCCTTGTCTGGTGCACCTGTGTCTGTCAAGTATCTCACTCTCTCTTGCTAAGACTGTTACAGCAATGTGTTCACTCTCCTTGTTACCAAATGTCCTTCTGTAAAGCACAGCTAACCAGGCTGGTGTCCAGAATCCTGCAGGTCAAAATTGGATTTCTTGAGGCTTTCTGACAAGGCCTTTAATGGTTCAGCCTTGTTTCCTGGAGCTCTCCCCCACTCACCTATAGGCCACTAACTACCAGTATGCACCTTTGACTTTGACAACGTCAAATATTCTACTTCCTCATTCCTTCCTTTTATGTGTCCCAAAACTAGTCCCTTGGGCTCAGTGATAGGTTCCTTTCATATTCTAGAATATAGTAAACAAGGTCACCTTCACACTATCCGAACTCTATCTTTTAAATTTAAAAATCTGTCTTCTCTTGGTCTGCTTTATTTCCATCTGGAAAAAACCCTGAGTTTAAAGACAACTGCAAAATCATCACCTGTCTACTACTTATATTTCAGGCACAATAAGCACAGAAACTTGCCACACACAGTAGGACTAATACTGAAGATAATGCCTACTAAGAGAAAAGAGTCCAGACTATGTCCATCACAGCATCCATGGTGCCTCATACACGCCATACACCTTCGGCGGCCCTGTACTCAAGACCTCCATCCCCCACCATCCAGAAGTTCCCTTCGTGTAAGAGGAACCTAGGAGGGAGCAGGAACCCTGGTGTTTGCCTACCTCTGGAAAAGCTCTCTGCAGCACACATATGTCTCATAGGTTCTGTTGGTGAAATGTGTGTTTAGGAATGAGACACAGTCAGTTTCAGCACCTCTGGGAACATAGAGGATTCCTGCATAGAAATAAAAACTACTTTAAGGAGGAAGGTTTGACACATGGACCCCAAAGTTCTGTATTGCTCGGTTGGGAGTTGGTAACACGGTAAATTAGGTGTCTGTGAGGTGGATGGTGGGCTAAATAAACATTCTGAGTGAGATCCTGTGATCTCTGCTAGAGACCATGATTAGGCACCTACCTGCCATACAGGCACTGATAAAGGAAACACAGGCACCTGTGAACAGGGCCCTGACCACAATCTTGCACAAGTCACTCTTCCGTTGAGGCATCATGGATGCTGTAGGCAACAAAAGAAAGCAATTGATGTCTTCCTCACACAGCAAGGAGGAATGTAAAACAATATCAGGTCAGATGACTAGTGCTCTTTGACCTAAGCCTGCTAAAGCTTCCTTAAGAGGTGCATACACACATTAGTCTTGATATATCACTCAGACTTCTCCTGTATCAAGGATTGTAATCTGACCCTCACTTCAGTGGTTCTGGAACCCATTCAAGATAAATCTGAATCAAGCAGGGCTCTGAGCTGCTCAAGCAGGCACAGATGCCTGTGTTGGCCAGTTGAGACCTATACTGTTAAGTCCAGACTGGAATCACATGTGCCATTTTGAACCAAAGGACTAGAGAGGGCAGCATCCATCTCACTCCAGCCCAGTGTCACAGCTATCAAGTGGCAGACATACAGCAATATGGATGAGAGTTTAACAGAGAGGAAAAAGATAAACCAAAAGGAAATTGTTCCACCTTCAAACTGCTTAATCAGCTATCAGTGACATAAATCTAGTGAAACTACCCCAGAATATGGTTGCCATAAGTGGTATTTTTAACACATTCTTCTTTTCATATTCTATTGCTTCTTAGACTCATTTCTAACTTGTCTCTTCCAAGTGCTCAGCTCAGGATTCTGATAAACACACACATACACACATACATCACACACACCACATACACAAATACACACTCACACACATATCACACTCACACACCACACACACACACATACTCACCAGACACACACACATACTCACCAGACACACACATACACACATACATACATATACATCACACACACCACATACACAAATACACACTCACACACATATCACACTCACACCACACACACACACACATACATGCCACACACACATACTCACCACACATACTCACCATACACACACCACACACACACACCACATACACCACACACACACTCACCACACACACATACCACACACACTCACCACACACACATACATACTCACCACACACACACATACACTCACCACACACACATACATACTCACCACACACACACATACACTCACCACACACACACACACACTCACCGCACTCACCACATACACCACACACACACTCACCACACACACCACATAGACACTCACTACACACACACACACCTACACTCACCACACACACACACTCACCGCACTCACCACATACACCACACACACACTCACCACATACACCATCCACACACTCACCACATACACTCACCACATACACCACACACACACTCACCACACACACACACACCACATACCGCCCTCCAGGACCACCCCCTCTCTCCTGGTATTCCAGCAACCGTCACCCACAGTCAGCACCCTGAAAACCTCTGCTTCAAGTACTAACTACTCCTCTGTACTCCAGGACTCTCAGCTTTCGCCCAACAAGGTATGATGCTCACTGACTCCACTATCTGCTTCGTCTCCTGTTTTCATATGGCTTTTTAAAATTCCTGTACAAATATCACTCTTATAAAAGAAAAACTTGTTGGGTTGGTTAATTTCAGAAAGTTCTTTTGGCAGTTTAACAGCAAGAGACAAACATAATTTTCATAACTTCTTCCTTATAAGGAAACTAAAACTAAAACCATTTTCTGCCTTGGCAGAAAGGAGAACAGGCAGACAGAGCACTGGTTGTAAAGGATATACCATAGTCGGCCTGACTGCATTAACTCTGAGTTACATGTGGCCTGAGAGGTCCACTTCATTGCAGCTTCTCTATCTAGCCTCAGCTTTGCAGAGCAGAGCCTGGATCTGCCTGGCGTGTGGAGGACCTGGGGGAATTGAACAACTCACTCAAGCCTCCCAGTGTGATTCCTATGGAACTAAGATTGGCAAATCCACAGAGGGAAAATGTTGCAATGATTTCAGCTTTCACCTAGGGGGGGAAACAAGTAGATAAATTTAGTCCTGGTGTGTCTCAGAACTGTGTTAGAAGTTCCAGGGCACACCAATTCGTCTTATAGTGTTCTAAGGAATGCACAAAAGATGCTCAGAAAATAATGGGCCCAAGTTACAACCGCTGTCTTGATATGGTAATACTACAAGACTCCTTGCCCGGCAGGGTTCTTATTAAAGATACAGAGAAAATGACCTAGAGGTGCAGAGAGAGAGGAAAGAAAGATTGTTTCGAAGCAGTTTGAATGTGTAAATAAAGGGACTTCAGGACATCCAGGAGAAGGTATGTTCCTTGGACTGTCCCAATGGAAGGGAGCAACAATTATCTTAGAAATCAAAGTTGGGTCAGAATGCAAGAGAGAAATAACAGAGACTTGGTGCAGAAGCTTGGGTCCTGAAATGCATGCTTCTGCTTGTCTTGTGCTTAGGCTGAGACACTGAGAAATACCTGTGGGCCCACAACGTTTGTGTGGCACACTATGCCTTCCCTCAGATATGCCTAGCCCAAACCTCTCACTCTGTAATTTTCTGGATTGTTGCTTACAGAAATCCACTGTTTCTCGCCGTTGATCCACTCTTCTACTCCGGAGAGACGTTTGTTCTTGTACTGAGATAGTTGTTGATAGGCCACAAATTCATTTATGAAGAATTTGACTCCCACTATCTCAGCCACCAGTGGGCAGTCTGCCCACTGCACACCCATCATGAAAACCATGGGCCTTAGGATATAGGAGCAGATGACCTTAAGGACAGAGAAAGAAGGGAAAGAAGAGCAGGCAACAAAGGTCAGGCACCAGGAGTGGCTCCAGACACTTAGCCTCCTCTCCTTCCTCCACCCCCTTTTCCTCCTCAGGCTTTCAGCTTACTGAGGGTCAGGAAAACATGCCCAACACAGATAAGACTTTACCTGGAAAGTGAGTCCATGGATATCCACCATTTCCCCCAGCCAGGAGAGGGTAGCATTGACGAAGGCCAATACAGCCAGAAAGGCAATCAGATTGGCTGCAACATTAGCAACAAGGCCTATGGCATCTGTGGCTCCATTGCTCGCAGCTTCCAGGATATTCCTCTCTTCCCTGTGGTTATTGGGCATAGAGAAAGAATATGCTACCTATAGTGGTCTCAGCTCCTCAGAGAGCTCCTCCATTGACCCTAAAGTGGAAGAAGTGGGTAGCCAGCCATTGTGAGGGGTGATGGGATTCCTTAGTAATTGTAATAGTGGAGATTTCTCTGAAGTGATTCGATGCTATTGCCATGAAAGTCTGATGCCAAGGACATGGAATATTGGTATAAGGCACTAATGCCAGGTGGGAAGCTTAAATCCAGACAAAACAAAATTGAAAATGATTAGCTAGAAGCGGAGATAGCAAAAGGGGACATGGAGTGACAGAATTTCCTTTGGAGAAACTGGAAGTCTCTAGCACACTGGGCTTCTCTAGATAGCACATCTCCTGACCCGTCCCCAGCTCACCCTCGAGGCAGCTTCACTCCCTCCTTGCTCTTGAACTTGGACTCTTCTACTTCTGGATACACCAGTTTGGACAAGGCAAGTGCACAAGGGGCAGCCATCACTGAGGCGGAAATCAAGGACGACGCATCAATCTGTAAAGCCAGATGGGGATTAGCATCATTGTAGGGCTCAACTTAGGTGCACCAAGAGCGATTATGTTGACTGTGCCTCACCCCAAAGGATATGAAGGCTCCCAACACCGTGCCTGCTATGGTAGCAAAGCCTCCAGTCATCACTGCATGGATTTCAGACAGGGTCATGTCTGCAAGGTAAGGACGGATGAGAAGAGGTGCCTCTGTCTAAAAACAAGGAAAAAATAGTCACACGTGAAGAGGTTATTGCTCCTCATGTCAAAGTGCTTAACCCAGGCTGAAAATAGACCCATCAGATACACGCCCTTCCAGCCGGTGGACAAAAACCTGCCCAACGGTCTCCTTGCTGGCCTGTTTTCACGTGTTCCTATAGCATGTTATAGAATACTGTAGACAGCTGGTGTTCATTTACTGTGTTTGTCATGTCTAAATCCGTGCAGTTAGTGAGTAAACGATAGAGTACAGTCCACTTGCTGACCACACACTAGATGTCAACCAAACATATATTGAAGGAACCGAAAATAGCTTATCTAAGCTAATACTTTATGAAATAATAAGAAAATAATGTCAAGCCAGCAAGAAAGTTCAGCCTGAAGACCTGAGAACATTATCTAGAACCCACATGGTAGATAGAAGGAAAGAAGACACTGACATCCACAAGTCGTCATCTGACCACCACATGAAAGCCATGATACATGAGTACTTACACACATGCAGACACATAGAGAGAGAGAGAGAGAGAGAGAGAGAGAGAGAGAGAGAGAGTCATTAAATAAATATAATGCAATTTTTTAATGAAATGTTTGTAGTTTTTTATTAATTAGGAAGATTCAAGGAGGAAATTACCTGGCCTTAATCTATGAGGTCATTTACCCTTTAATGAGTGTCAGCGAAAGGATGTATTAGCTTGGTAGAGCATTGATGCAAGGTTCCTGCTCTTAGATGACTAGAGTCTAGCTGGAAAAATTCAAATGATTATAGACAATTTTGGCAAAATGTAAGGTTATGAGAAAAGAATCCAGAAGTGCTCTGAAAACAGATCAAAATCAGATAAACAGCCAAGGATTTTGGAGAAAAAGACCCCAATGTTGACTTCTTATTCATTTGAAAAACTATTGTCCCTAATGTTGATTTGACCAGTCAATAGCATAGATTTAACACCGGAATGGTTAATGTTGATTATCAATAATTGATAGACTCTCCTAAAAAATGACTCTAGGAATGCCTGTGAGGTGTTATCTTGATAGGTCAGCCTGTGAGAAATTATTTTAATTATGTAAATTAAAGCAGAAAGACCAACTCTAAAAGTGGGTAGGACCACTCCCTAGGCTTGGGTCCTGGACGCTGGGGACAAGCATCATTCATTATTCAGCTGCCTTAAGCTCCTGTAACCAAGCTCTCCCCAACAGGATGGCTGTACTCTCAAACTGTGAGGCAAAATAAAGCCTTTCTCTCTTAATATGCTTTTTTCAAAGTACTTGGTCACAGCAAAAGGGAAAGACCTATTCCACACAGATACTTGCTCTCATTCCACACAGACGGATGCTCTGAGAAAGATGCTATATAAAGAAGAACTCTGTTAGTCCTGAGCAAGACAAGCCATTACCTCCTCGGAGACCTTGGAAAATCACAGGGAATCACAGCAAGAAGCCAGAGGTAGCTCAACCATCCTTCCTAGCTCCTGAGGGTGATGAAGCTTAGACTAGGACATTCACCTATATACCTGTGTGAGAAGCTAGATCAGTGGCTAAGGACAACCTTCTAGATAGTGTGTCCAGACTGTGCATTAGGTATCAAGGGTCAATGCAATGAACTAAGTTCTCCTTGACCCTCTGAGGATTCTTTCATAAGGACTAACTGACACACAGTCTTCATTTGTCAGCTTTCCATAAGAAAAAATGAGCTTCTAAGCTGCATGGTGACATATGCATATACGCTCACCACTTGGGAGGTGGAGGCAAGAAGAGGAATTCAAGGTTGACCTTAACTACTTAGTGAGTATGAGGTCAACCTGGGCTACATGAGACCCTGTCTTAGAAAAACAGGAAGGAAGGAGGTGGGGAGGGAAGGGGGAGGGAAAATCCTCTTTCTAAATTTGTTCTCTGCCAAGTTCTCGGTTCTTGAGAGATTAGAAAAACAGAAGGCTCCAGGGTACATACGTACCATCCCCACAAAGATGTTTCCTGCCACAGCCAGAGTCTCTGCAGCAGTAGTACCCATGGTGATTTGCAGGAACCAGGCAATCTACAAGAATCCAGACACATAAATCTTCAACATTAGCAGGAGTCTTGGATAGTGTCCAGCAAAACCCCTCCCTGCTATTCCATTTAGTGGTAAAGAAACTGAGACCTGGAGAGATAGTGTGGTCCAGAGTAACAGAACAAGTTGCAAACATATTAGACTGACCTCAGGCCTTGGGGTTTCTAGAACAAGCAAATTCAACTCAGTATGAAAGAGCTTTTTACCATATTCTGCCTCCAGCCTATCTCCAGCCTGGGTAATCATTTGATACCAGGATGCTCCAGAGAGATTGCCTTTTCAAATTGATTCTGATTCTCCACATCCCATGTAAGAACTTTCTCCCCCAACCTAAGTATGAACTCATTCATTCCCCTGACATATTCAAGCTGAAGGTCCTTACGTGGAACCCAAACGCCTTACCTTCTGAATCACCCACTGCACAAGGCCCAGGTAGTAGAGAATAGACATCACGCATCCAAAGAAAATAATGATTGGCAGAGACTGCAACAAGAACAGAGGCAGCCTATGAGACATTACACTGCGTGGGCTGTGTGTGGCATGAGCTCGCTCTTGCAGGCCTCTAAACAGAGTTCTGGGAATGCCCAGACATCAGGGTAGCAGATACAGTGTAGTTTAGGAATAAACTCAAAATGTACTGCAGACTATCAGCCTATCAGTATTAAACACAGGATATTTCCTGAGCCTCTCCCTGCACCTGCCTTTAAACCAATTTCATGATGGTAAGGATCATGGGGAAAGAGTAGACCCCCCTCCAGGATCAAGTCGGTAAAGGCTGTCTGGTCTCGGGGACACACAATCATCCCCAGCTCTATTCCCCTGCCTTTCACTGACACTGTCATTCCTGCACACAAAACAGGTATTACCTGGAAAGCAAAAACATTTTGGACCAGTGTATCACCAAAAACAAAACTGGATCCTTCCACAGTATAAGCCAGGAAAATCTGAAGTGGGAAGAAAAGAGACAAGAGTTAGGACAAGTGAAACACAGAGGAAGACGGGATCTGACTCAGGTGTGGGCCACCTGTGGGCCATGTCCCAAAAGTTGGTCATGAAATGACAGACCAGCAAATCACTTCTATTCACTTAGATTCTCACCTGAACTAACTCTCTCTCTCTCCTCTCTCTCTCTCTCTCTCTCTCTCTCTCTCTCTCTCTCTCTCTCTC